CCCGGCGCGTCGCCGAGCGGCGCCTACGTGCCTCCGAACCGGCGCCGCGCGGCCGCGGCCGCGGCCGCGGCCGGCGGCCGGCCGCCGCGCGACGGCGGCGGCGGCGGCGGCGAGGGCGGCGGCCGCGCCAAGGCCGGCGGCGGGCGGCGGAAGCGGGGCGGGGCGAAGCGGGGCGGCGACGACGGCGACGCGCGCGACCGCGAGGCCGACGCCGACGGCGCCGCCGGCGACGGCGGCGACGGCGGCGGCGGCGACGGCGGCGGCGACGGCGACGGCGGCGCCGGCGGCGACGCCGCGGCGGCGCGGGCGCCGAAGCCCAAGAAGGCGGACCGCAAGGCCGAGGCGCGCGCCGAGGCCAAGCGGCTCTGCGAGCGCGCGCGCCAGGCGGCCGCGGCGGGGTCGCCGGGCGGCGCCTACAACGCGCTCAAGGACGCGTCCGCGGCGCTCGGCGGCGGCCGCGTGGCGTCGGGCCAGTGCCGCGACGCGCTGCTGAGCCTCATCCGCTGCGGCGAGTTCTGCGCGGCGGCGGACGCTGCGGCGTTCTGCGCCGTCGACCCGCGGCTCGCCGCGGACCTCCTCTGCGCGATCCCGCAGCGGCCCATCCTCGAGCGCGGCGGCGCGTGCTGCCGCGACCTCCGGGAGCTCGTGCCGGCGCTGCGCGACGCGACGCGCGCGTCCCTCGGCGACGAAACCCGCGCCGACGACGGCACGGAGTACTTCTTCGAGCACGCGCAGTTCGCCGTGTCCGAGTTCGTCGCCGAGGCGTCGCAGCGGTGCGAGGCGCTCGCGCGGGGCACCGCGCTGGGCTTCATGGGCCGCGCGCGGCGGAGCCACCGCAAGGGCGAGGTCGTCGTCGAGGAGGCCTTCGGGGCCGGGTCCGCGTCGTCCGCCGCCGACGACGGCCAGCGCGCGCTCGGGCCCGGCGACTGCGTCGCGGTCCGGTGGCTCGAGCCGACGGGCGCGCCCGGCGGCATCGTCGGCGAGATGGACGTGTGCCTCGGGCGGCCCCTCGTCCTCGCCGTGCCCGCGGGCGGCGACGGGCCCAGCGTCGACGGCGTGCTCCGCGCGTGCGGCGGCGGCTGCCGCGTCGACAAGATCGCGTCGCGGACGACGTACACGCGCGTCGTCAAGGCGCTCGCGGCGCTCGCGGTCGACGCGCCCCCGGGGTCGCGGGGCCTCGCGGCGCCCCACCCGGACCTGCGGCGCGCGCTCGTGTCGCCGGCGTTCCGCGCGGCGCGCGTGCTCGCCGTCGACGACGGCGCCGTCGCGGCCGCGTCCGAGGGCCTCAACGCGTCGCAGCGCGCGGCCGTCCGCGCGGCCGTCGACGGCCGCCTCACGCTCGTCCAGGGCCCGCCGGGCACGGGCAAGACGCGCGTCGCCTGCGCCGTCCTCGCGGCCTGGGCCGAGGCGGGCGGCGGGGGCCGCGGCCGGTGCAAGATCCTCGCGACGTCGGACAGCAACGTCGCCGTCGACAACCTCCTCGAGGGCCTCGCGCGCGCGGGCCGGGGCCGGCTCCGCCTCGCGCGGCTCGGCCAGCCCGAGGCCGTGCGGCCCGAGCTGCTGCGCTACTGCGCCGACGTGCGCCACGGCGGCCCCGGCGGCGACAGCGCGCGGTCCGGGGCGGGACGAGCGCGCGACCTTCCCGACTTCAAAGGCTCCGATCTCGGCCGCGTTCCGCTCGTTTCGGCTGATTGTTGGACGAGCGATCATCTCTCGGAGCGGCCTCGACGCGAGGATGGGTGTGTCGTGACGCGCGCGCGCGGACCGCTCGCGTCGAAGCGACGTCGCGTCACGCTCGTCCCGCCCAGGCGCGGTCCGCGTACGACGCGAAGATGGCGCTCGTCCGCGACGCGGACGTCGTCTGCGCGACGTGCGTCGGCGCGGGCGCGGACCTGCTGGACCGGTTCCACTTCGACCGCGTGCTCGTCGACGAGGCGGCGCAGGCGACGGAGCCCGTCTGCGTCGTGCCGCTCTGTGTGGAAATCAAATCTTCAACCCGACTTCAATGTGCGCGTAATCGAACGGTTTGGACCAGACTATTTCGCTGTGCTTCGAGAACTCGACGAGAGCAATCGATTCGTCCAAAAATCAGCCGAATCGACTTCGATTTGACCGAGCTAGAGATTTCAGAAGTTTGGCCCCGACGTCCCAGCTCACTGGTTGATTTCCACACAGGTGCCGCTCTGCCGCCGCGCGACGCAGCTCGTCCTCGTCGGCGACCAGTGCCAGCTGCCGCCGACGGTGCTCGACGCGAAGCAGGGCGAGGTCGCGAAGCCCCTCTTCACGCGGCTCCTGGCCACCGTGCGGCCCCACCTCCTCGACACGCAGTACCGCATGCACCCCGTGCTCTCGGCGTTCGCGAACGACGCCGTCTACGCGGGCCGGCTCTGCGACGGCGTGCACCCGCGCGACCGCGCGCTCGAGGACCGCGTGCTCCGGTCCGTGGGCGCCGCCGTCGGCGCCGAGGGCCTGGCGGCGGCGCTGCCCTTCGCCCTGGTCCACGTGCCGGGCCGCGAGCGCGACGACGCGGCGTCGAAGAGCAACGACGACGAGGCCGCGGCGGTCGCGCGCGCCGTCGGCGCGTGCCTCGCGGGCGGCCTCGCGCCGGCCGACATCGCCGTGCTGAGCCCCTACAGCGCCCAGGTGCGCGCCGTCCGGCGCGCGCTCCGGAACGCGGGCGTCGACTGCGCCGCCGTCGGCCTCGAGGTGTCGTCCGTCGACGCGATCCAGGGCCGCGAGAAGGAGGTCGTCATCCTGTCGACCGTGCGCGCCAACGCCGAGGGCAAGCTGGGCTTCGTCGCCGACTGGCGGCGCCTCAACGTCGCCCTCACGCGCGCGCGGCGCTGCGCGCTCGTCCTCGGCGACGTCCGCACGCTCGCGGCCGACCCGGAGATCTGGCGGCCGTTCCTGTCCTGGGCGCTCGCCGCGGGCGTCGCGAACCGGGGCGCCGTCGAGGCGCTCCGGGGCGAGAAGCTCGCCTACGACCTCGCCAAGGTGCGGACGCACGCGATCCGGCGGACGCCGTCGCTCGGCGCGGACTACCTGCCCGCGCCCGTGCTCGACGAGGTCGACAAGTGGGCTTCCAAGCCCGCGACGGACAGCGTCTTCGACGACGCCTACGCGACGGCGCAGGCCGACCGCGAGGCGGACCTCGCGAAGATCGCGTCCGCGGCGAGCCTCGTGTCGCTCGCGTCGCAGCAGGACTCGGTCAAGGACGCGTGGGACGACTCCGACTCCGACGACGCCGGCGCGACCAAGGACGGCGGCTGGGGCGACGACGACGCCTAGCGCGCGGCGCCGCCGCGGCCGCCCGGGCGCGCCGCTTTTCTCCCCCCGGCGGGCGGGGGGCGGGGGGCGCTGCTCCCCCCCGCCCCCCAAAGCCCCACCCTCTATCTAACACACCGTCGGTCGTGCCGCGGGGCGGCGGCGCGGCGCGGGGCTCAGACGCCGAGGAGCCTTGGCGCGCGGGGCCGCCGCGTCGGCTTAGGCCGCGGGGAACGTCGTGCGCCGGGCGTGGTCCCGGCGCCTCCTCGGCGGGCGCGTCTTCGGCGGCGCGGGCGCCTCGCGCCGCCGGAGCGCGGCCGCCGTGGGCTTGTCGAAGGTCGGCGACCGGGCCGGCGCCGCGGGCTCGGGCGTCGGCGGCGGCGTGTCCGCGGCGTCGACGGGCGGGAAGCTGAGCGTCGCGCCGCGGAGCATGCGGGCGACGGCCGCGGCGGCCGTCGGCGTCGACGTCGACGGCTCGCGCGCCGGCGGCGGCCCCGCGGCGGCGTTCGCGGCGGCGAGCGCCGCCGCGAGCTTGGCGCGCGTCGCGTCCCGGTCCGCGCGCACGAGGGACCAGCGGCCCCGCGCGGCGAAGCGGTGGTCCGGCGGCGGCGCCGCCGGCTCCGGCGGCGGCGCGTCGTCCGCGGCGAGCGCCTCCCGCCGGGCCTGGAGCGCGGCGACGAGGTCGCCGCCCTCGGCGCGGTAGGCGTCGAGCGCGTCGAGCGACGCGCGGCGCCGGCCGCCCCGCGCCTCGCGGAGGCGGCCCAGGACGACCGCGGCGGCGACGCAGATGCCCGCCGCGGCGTCGACGTCGGCCTCGCGGAACCTGCGCGGCGCGCGGTCGATCGCCGCGCGCGCGCGCGCGCGCGGTCGACCGCGACCCGCGCGGCGCCGCGCGGCGTCGGAAGCACCCGTCCGCCGCGCGGCGCGGCGCGGCGCGACGCGGACGTGGCGCGCGGGCCGCCCGGGCCCGTCGCGGAGCTCGACGTCGTCGCCGGCGACGTTGACGACGTCGTCGCCGCCGGGATCCGCCAGCTTGTTCAGCAGCTCGAGCACGCCGACGGGGCCGAGCGTCGCGCTCGCCTGGGCAGCAAAAGAGAGATTCAACGTCGCTTCAACATGAGTGTTCCGCGCGCGCGCGTTCCAGAAATAGCATCCACGCTTCGAGAGCGCTCCGAGGGATGATCGCTCGTCCAAAAATTAGCCGAAACGAGTGGAAAACGGCCGAGATTGGAGCCTTTGAAGTTGGGAATTTCGCTCTCTTTTGCTGCCCTGGCGCTCGCGACGGGCGCGAGGACCGCGGACCGCGCGTCGTAGCCTCCGCGGGCGCCGGCGACCTCGGCCGCGCGCGCGCCCGGCGGGGGTCGACGCGACGGCGCGCGCGGCCCCCGGCTCGTCCGCGGCGCGGCCGGAGCGACGGCGACGCGGCGCGCGGTCGCGCGCGCCCGCGGCCCGGCCGGGGCGCCCCGAAGCGGCGGTCGGCGCGTCGCGCGGGTCGTCGCCGCGCGCGGAGAGCACGCCCGGCGCGGCCCGCGCGTCCGCGTGGACGAGGGGCGCGGCCGCGCCGAGCGCCGCAGGCGCGAGCGCGGCGCCTGGGCAGCAAAAGGGTGATTCAACGTCGCTTCAACGTGAGTGTTCCGCGCGCGCGCGTTCCGAANAAAGCATCTACGCTTCGAGACCGTTCCGAGAGATGATCGCTCGTCCAAGAATTAGCCAAAACGAGTGG